AATCTGGCCAATTTTACCAATTCCTATTGTCTTCTTCCTATTTCTTCTACACAAAAAAAAAATAGAAAAAATTTCCTATTTTCATCCACAACTTTCAAAAATCACCAGAGAAACAACTGTTTATACTAACAATTTTAGGAAACATCTACCCAATATTCCAAATAGGCTTTAAGCTTGGAAATTTGAATTCTTGTATTTTTGCATTGGTGATATCAATCATAAATTGAAATCTATGGAGATGCACAATTGTCAACCGCCATCTGTTTTGATTGTACCTTGGCATATTTATGGTAATGAATTTGGCATCCTCTACAATATGGGGCCATATATACTTTACAGTCTGGCATCGTCAGACTGTAAGATTTCAAATGTAGGTATTGAAATTTTTGTCTCTTACTAGCTAAAAGATTTCAGTAATAAGTAGGAAATTTTCAATCTTGCTTTGGACCAAAATATTTTCAATCAAACCAAAATATGACTTTGGAAACTTGTGATGTCATACCTAGGCAATTGATGTGATATTAGAGCTTCAATATTTCAGAAAAAGTAAGAAGTCATCCTCTTCTTCTTCTTCATCGTCTCCAACATTGATGAGCCTTTCCTGAATGTTCCAGGCCATTAATCATTAGTAACTACAAATAATATAATCAAAATATATAATAATATAGGTAATAAACATATATCATAATATATGCCCATAATCAATATATATAATAATAAAAACATACATACATGAATTAAAAATTTATTTTTATGGGACATGACTCATTTGAACTTGATTTAATTTTGAGATTGATCATGAAGCAAAGGTTGTAGAAATACATACATATAATAATGAGATGAGCACATATATCCTTAATTTTATGGATTGCTTCAGGCAGAAAAAGCCTGCCATAGCATGGTGGAATTCAGGAGGAAATATATTAACTGTTACACACATATATCAGACTTAATTGAAATGCTAAAACTAGACTTTAGTTTTGTAGTTTTGATTTCAGCTTATATTTTGAACTGATCAAATAGATGAGAAATTAGGATGACTCCAATCCTGCATGTTAGCTAAAATGGATGCATAGTAGAGCAAAAGCCACCCAAGAATGAGACAAAAACACCCAAGCCAAATGGCAATTTCACCTGTTTTTACCCCTAGTCTATTATCTTTTGGTAGAAATTATGAAAAACAGCACATTTTTATCATAATTTTTGAAAATTACCCATGAAATAATAATTTTTAGAAAATTCTGTCCAATATTCTAGATTGGCATATTAGGAGGTATGGTATGTGAAAACTAATTAGTCAGCAAGATCTTCTGAAGACATACATAGATTTTGATGCAAATGTATTGTGAAAGATCTTTAGTTAGTTGTTCACCCTGGCAGGATTTGAAATATCCAACTTTTTTTATTGATATATCACAGCTTTCATATCATACCACTTTGAAAGGAATGAAATTTCTTAGTTTTAAAGTCATGTATTTTGCAATGATAAAAAAAGTTTTGCTTCGCAATCCTGTCATTCACACAATTTAAAATTTTGCAGTTCAGTACCACACTCATGTCATATATCCTGCACAATGATTGCACTGGAAATGTTTCTTCGACAACTGCGTAATTATGGTCATATCATGATGTCAGACTACATTATAACTGTTTTTTTTTGACAAAAATATAAAAAATATGTTATGTGTTTGATTGTCTCAAAAGTCAAGGAAAATGTTCTTTTTGTTACTTCTATGGTGTAATTAGAGATTTGGCTTAATATGTATGCACTGCCTGGTGTAGAATATATCTACCTTTTGAGCCATGACTAGAATTCCACCTTTTCTAGAACAGCCATATTTCTCTCAGATGAATTAATTTCTATTTAATTATTAATAAAAATTTCCAGTCAGGGCACAAGACCCCAAATATACTGAAAATTTCTCATTTTGGAGCCATAAGACTTTAATAATAAGTATGAGAATTTCATTGCTGTTTGCTGCTTGACAAATAAAGTCGTACTTAAACAATGGTAAATGAGTTGATGGCTCAAAAATAGCTTTTAATGACCTGGAAAAGGTATTTGCACCTCAATCTAATTGTTAACTACCATGTCACCCACTCACACAGACAGTAAAATATGGCATACCATAGGTCAAACCGTCAAGGATCAGCACAAACATATGTGCATCATGATTAATATGGCCAATGCAATATGATTGGCATTGCTGTACCATCAACCAGGGCTACTCGGGACGGGCGGGGTAACTCGGGACAGTCCTCCAGCACATAGTGGCATAAACATCAACATTTTTCCTATCTATGTAGTATAAAGGAAGTTAAAAAATACTACATTAACTAGCTTTGAAAAATTCCTGAAAAAAATGGTGAAAAACTATATTTTGAAAAGTTACTTCTGCTAAGGTCTGTAGTAAAAAAATATTCACCGTATTAAAAAATTTTACTTACATAAAAGTTGCACCCAGGTGTCAGCTTGAAAATGTAATTGACAGATTTTGCCTACCTCATTAAAAAAATGGCGGTCATTTCCGCATGGCAGGGCTACTTGGGACACCCCCAAAAGCACATTTACAGTAGAACCTCAGTTAGCAAAGGTTCCAGTTAAGAAAAAAAATCAGGGTTGGCGATTTTTTTTATTTTTTTTAAAAAAATCAGAAAAATCAAAAATCAATGATTTTTTTTATTTTTTCATGATTTTTTTGATTTATTTGATTTTTTCAGCTTTTTTGTCTTTTTTGAGGTGTTATTTTTTATGTTGCAATTAGCCTACTAACAATAACAGTATATGAATCATAATGGATGGCTAAGAAGGGCACTTATTGCCTTCAATAATGGCCAACAGGCCAAGGTGGTGTTGACCATTTTGGGATTTTTGGTAAACAATTATTGATCAGTCTATTCATTAGCTTTGTAAAGTTTGTATGGAGCAAGGTTATGAGCTAAATATTGACCATTTAACTGGCTTCAATATACAAAAACACTTCAGGAATGCAGATCTCCTAAACATTGAAGAGTCACATAACAGATAGGTAGATGATTGCACAGTGCACAGCCTGTCTCTTATACACATCTAGATGTGTATAAGAGACAGCAACGGGGCTACTCAGGACACTCTTTTTTTGCCTCTGGCACCTTACGAATAGCATATGGAATTTTTTTGAAGATGCCATTCGATAGCCCTCGCAAAGAGCTATAAAATGAGCCTAAACTTGTTTATGAAATATTTAATGGTAAGAAGTTATTAACAAAAAATGCTCAAAACCGTCCCAAGTAGCCCTGGTTGACGGTATGTGTATTATGATAGCTGTGGGTGACAGATACAACTAGTACCAGCAATCAAAACAAGCAGGAGATAGGAACAGTGATGACAATGTTTCTTAATCAATTAAAGTTTCAGACTGGTCATGGATTGCAATTTAAGGCTGATGGAGAGTTTTAAAATATGCCAATGCCTCAAAGGCTCAAGTTCATTTCTGAGTTCTATAAGCAGACCTGTAAAGTATCATGGATACCAAGTTACCAACATTATCATGCATAAGAAATAGGCTTAAATTTTGAGTAGATTAGGAAATCAAAAATAAAATGATTCTAAAAATCTCTGTTTGGCCACTTTGATTACATAAATTATAATTTAGATCCACAAGATTTTAATCTTATGAAGGACATTTCTAATCTGCCAAGCAAAAAAACATGGGTTAGAAAATGGAAAGTAGACACTTTCGATATCTGCAACGAAAACTTGAGGTCACGGACAGACAGACGGACATGACGAACACAATAGCGCCTTTTTTCCATAAATGAGAAAATGCGCTAAAAATAGAAATGCACGCTTCGAACTCGCCGCTCGTGAACATCAGTTTTATGACATTACCTCGGCGTGACAGGTTAATTAACCGGGCACAAACGATGAAATCTCCACACCTAATAACATGGCGCTGGTCGGGAACGAAACTCCTGCGTGACGGACTGAGGCAAATGCATGGTGGCATAGATACCGGAATAATCAAGAAGATCTCCGCCCCTCATATCAGCAGATATTTAAGATGGTATCCAAGATACCTGGCGATGAATCATCTTCGTAGAATATTGCACATAATTGAGCCTGGAGCTCGACACGCAAACGGCTAATTGTAGCGCTTAGTGTAGCATGCGCTTATGAAGCAAACGACAGCGTAACTTACGCAATACAATAATAAACAACATGAATAGGAGTTTCCAACTAATGTGCTGGTGTATATATATATATGGTTCTTTCTTGCCAGCAGAGGACAATACACTTGAATCGCAATATCTATTTCCGTCCAAACTCAGCACCATTTAGACAATACAATTCCCCAGCAAGTTCATGTAAACTTATGTAGGATAAAATAGAAACTGAATCAACATGTACTACCGATTTCGTCTTCTATAGCGAGTAAAACTTGACGTTTCATTAACACATAATTATGCTTAATGGATCAATTGACAACAGACTTTGAGTAACACAGGCAGGCAAACAAATGCAAGCAGCAACGCGATAAAAACCTAAGCTGACAACCACCATCTCTTACACACAGACAAGAATTTTTAGAAATACCTACCAAGAATATACAATACACTTACAAAATTAAAATTAAAGCACAACATAGTTTGACTAGGAAGCTGTTATGAATTATAAACTTTAATATCGAAAATTATAATCTTAATCATCTTCATTTGTAATCTAGTAAATTCATGTATATCAAGCAGCCAATATAGGTACTAGTAACATCCTAGTCTTGAGATATCAACAAAATTTACATAAGTCGGATACTGTTGTTCAAAAGAAGATATAATAACAGCTTATTTAAACTGCAAATAATTGAAGAATAGGCTTAACTTTCCTTTAATCCACTATGTAATGTTGACTCCAGACGAGCTCACAGAACTGACAAAAGCAAGCCTAAGGTTCAAATCGCAACATATTAATATTATGGAATATTATTAATATTATTATTATTAATATTATTAATATTATTATGGAATATTAATGCATAAGATTTGAACCTAAAGCCTGGTGATGACAATATTAATTGTAAAACTCACTTGAGAGAATGCATTGGCAAAATAATTTTAATTAGAGCAAGTGCACATAACAGCAAATATGAGTTCAGTTGAATTGTTTACTGGAACACTTGCTGAAAAAAGCATATCAGCAAAAATAGTGGAGCCTAGATAATCAAGACAACTAATAAAAATCTTCCAAGCAATTCAATCAAAGAATAAGCATTCAGAAAATAAAATGCTTCATTAAACAAGTAAGGATTAGGCAAAGCAATATATTATAGAGCTGAACTTACATCCATATTTTTCTCTATCTCTCAGTAGGGACATCAAGTAAAATATATATAATGGAGGTGTCATGTTTTAGTATTTTTTAATAACTTTTTTTATAATGTCTAACAACCATTTAACAATGCGAAGTGTGCATGCATTCAGAGCAAATATAATTTTTCATTGTTAACAGAGTATGACTAGTGTTCCATCATACAACTGATCTAACATAAAACAGCAACAAATGCTACAAAATACCATAAGACTTTAGAACACCAGAAGCACTCATATCCTCATTGTTTAACTCTCAGATGATATGTTTCATAGAAAAAATGATGGAATGATAATCTGTGACTTTATAATATAAACAAATCTAGGAAGGATGAATGTCAGTAGAGTTGAGATGGCTGTGCACCACAGCTATTAAGAATGGGTGAATAATAAACCTTTATGTAAGTCACTGCTTAATTCTAAAACTTATCTCGGGTGAAACTTAGTTTGATGAGTAGGTGTCACAATGAATAACAGAGATGTACTTGCAGGGACTATGATTAGATCTATCTATCTAATAGATCTAATATGATCTATCAGATCTATGACGGTGCAACATTGTTGGCATCCTGTTCACATTGATGTGCAGATCTTATGCTGTACAGCACGTGGAAGGCCCAGAGGCAAAAGCATTCTTCAGGCCCTATGGTACTTGATAATGATTGGCACTGAAAAAAATAATAGCTTTTTAATAATTTACATGGTTTCCTTGCTACTATAATCCATTTTTAACGCCTAATATACAATCACTTTGATTTGAAATTTGTAGGTAAGACAAAGACAGAAGGTATACAAAATGATTAAGTAATAGAAATGAAATTATGTTAAATCATCATGAACTTTGAAACATCAGTAGTATAGCATGAACAAATACTTCATTACTTACCAAATACAATGAGTGCAAGTATGATCAGAGTGCACCCAATGACGAGTCTGCTTTTAGTGGTCTGCCACCACATGTTGCGCCTGAGTCGTACAGATGAGTTTCTGAAGCTATCAGCAGTAGTGGCGAGGTGATCAGAACGTGCACTGAGTTCTTCAAGCTGGTCTCCCCGCTCAAGAAGGCGCCCAACATTGTCCCTCATTGCACTGGTCACCTCTGATACTTGCGCTTGTACACTACCAATAAAAGAGAATTTGTAGTAAGGTTGTTAATCAGCAACAGTTTTGCCAAGAAACTTTTTCAGTAATCATTCTAGGGAAACAAAATTTAAAAAAATTGTATATGATCAAATTTTTCAATAATTTTTCAAACATGATAAAACTTACACCTTCATTTTGTCTGTAGAGAACCGAACCGACTTCTTCGCTGCAGCCCCTCTGAAAAATCAGGCAATTGAATATATATGATAATATATATAGATATGGCAAAAATATACAATTGTTGTCAAGCAGGAAGTTAGCAAGCTTAGCTATTTGGCAAAGTAAGTTAAATTCTCAAGCAAAACAACAAGCATTTTTCTTTTATTATTTGAAATTAGATAGAAGGATTACCATTATTGTTCTGTAAATAATATTTTCAAGGACTTGAATTTGTTACAAATAAAGACAAGTTTAATTATTCTAATGAAATATTCTGGACTTCCTGTTCAAATTTTTCCCAATGAGATTGCAATAGCTGATACACTAAAGCCATAATAAAAAATTGAAAAATAAATTAGTTACAGAGTATGCCTACTTACTTGAGAAAGAAGTCATCCTCTTCTTCTTCTTCATCGTCTCCAACATTGATGAGCCTTTCCTGAATGTTCCAGGCCATTAATCATTAGTAACTACAAATAATAAATGGTATTCAAAATATATAATGTTATAATCAACACAATAATCTATTCAACTTATATAATAATATAAACATATACATAAATTAAAAATTTATTTATATGGGACAAGTATCTTCATTTAAACTTGATTCAATTTTGAGATTGATCATAAAGCAAAGGTTGTTGTAATACATAATGAGATGAGCACATATATCCTTAATTTTGTGGATCACTTTAGGCAGAAAAAGCCNAGGAGCAGTGATGACAATGTTTTTTAATCAATTAAAGTTTTTGATTGGTCATGGATTGCAATTTAAGATTAAAATGGCTGATGGAGAGTTTTAAAATATGTCAATGCCTCAAAGGCTCACGTTCATTTCTGAGTTCTATAAGCAGACCAGTAAAGTATCATGGATACCAACATTATCATGCATAAGAAATAGGCTTAAATTTTTAGTAGATTAGGAAATCAAAAATAAAATGATTCTAAAAATCTCTGGTTTACCACTTTGAATACATAAATTTTAATTTGGATCCACAAGATTTTAAACTTATGAAGGACATTTCTAGTCTGCCAAGCAAAAAAGACATGGGTTAGAAAATGGAAAGTAGACACTTTCGATATCTGCAGGACCAAGATAGAATATTGTAGAAAACTGAGCAGAAGCCACACCTGAATTGGATAAAAACCTCCCTAAAATATGCTTACTTCATGCCTTATTATGGCCTTTTACAAGTTTGTTAAGTGAAAAATAAGAAACTATATTATTCAATTGAAATCCTCTGTGAAATGTTTGCTTTTACATGCAATTTTAGGAAACTTCTGACCTATAATACAATTTGGCTGCAGGGGCAGGGTGCAGTTTGCCATATGGCAATGCTTTTCATTCATTCATTCATTCATTACCATTCAAGTGATTCAAGCATTCATAAATTTTGTCCGATCCTATTAAATTTGCCTCTGAAAATTTCATATACCTAGGCTCATAGTGACAAACCAGAAATTTTTTAGAATCAGTTCATTTTTAATTTCCTCATTTACCAAGATTTAAACCAATTTTTTTTGTATGATAAGGCTGGTATCCAGGATACTTTACTGGTCTACTAATAGGACTCAAAAATAAACTTGAGGGAGAATCTAAAAAACTCTCTGCTTTGCCACTATGCCTAGGCTATCATCTGTGATTCAAGAATCTGCCAATATTTTTTAAAAACTAATGTCTAGCAAAAATATTGTTGATTGACTCATTTTTTATTTGTCAAGTGATTAGTGAATGATTACCCTTGGTACCTAAGTTGGTAAAACTATTAGTAGTTACATTAATGATTAAAACCTCACCTTCTCATCATCTTTAGATTTTTCAAGATCTTGTTCATCAACTTTTCTTTTCGACGATGAATACATTGTATGTAGGACGCTGTCGGTAAGAATGGTCAATGGCAGTCAGAAACTAGAGGTCCCAAGTTCCCAACTTCAATCTTCCCAGTTCCCACAACGCCACAGGCACCGGCACAGGGCAAAGACGACTGATCTCTCGTTGAATCTCGTTGAATTTTTAGCACCAGCCTTCTTGGGCATCTGGTGCTTTGGTCAGAGCTTGTGGTATTGTTCTTTAGAGCTTGTCAGGTCGGATCATCGATTGCCTTCTAACTCTTAGTCCATGCAGACATATTATCTGTTGTTAATGTTATTCTTACTTTGAAGTATGTGAACGAGAGTTGCTCTCCATAAAAGAAGAATACATGTTAGGGCCGTTAAACCGTAACTGAATATTGGTTCAATAATTTGTGGCTCATGATGTTTCTTTCTTTATATTTTTTGCCTTGCAGCCTTTGATTATTTATTAATCATACGTTCATATTCTCATATGTAATTAGAAACATGAATTAACAGGCTTACGATAGAAGAAATTTTGATGTTATTTTGATAATGGCTGGAAAGTGTGGTCGAAGAGGTCACGA